ATAGACACAGCATTTTCAAAAGTATTTTCAGTCTGTGATTGATTGAATCCACTGATGCAGAACTAAAGGATATGGAGCACTGATTGCAGAAAATAATATGGCTGCTTTGCTCATTTATAACCAGAAAAAAAAAATTTGATCTCTTTAGTAAAGATTAAACTGACTTAATCTAATTGTTTCTTTATTATAAGCCTATTTTCTACATTTACCCTCAAAGTATCATGGGGCTTAAAGTCTTGTCTTCTTTCTTTCTTGACAGTAGGAGTAACAGCATGATCATTCTCCATGGGTATTTCGTGAGGATTAAATGAAATGCTGTGTAGTGGTTAGCACAGTAGCGTGTATGACCTTTAGTAGATGCGAAGTGTTACTTATACTAATGAATAACAATTGGGATGAAGCGGGAAGCTCTCAGAACCAATATACCAAGTTTAGGGTTCAAACAAACTAGTCCAGGAACACAGAGCAGCACATGTATTTATTAAATGCCTCCCATGGCTTTGGAAAAAACCTACAGTTTCTTTGGATCTCAGCTTTCTCAAACAAGAGACTGCAGGTAGGTAACTTCAGTTTTAAAACTCCTGTGCTTGTAGAGGATTATCGTTATTTTTCTCTCCCACCTTCCTATTGCCAGGCTAATGACAAAGTTTTGTCTTCGAGTGAACTAAATCACTGTGATATTTATTGCCAGATGTGACCTTTTGTTAGCACAGGGTAGAATCCCAGTTTAATATCACTTTCTATAAATATAGATTGAGGATGAGGAAATGTCCTGCCTCTAGAGAAGTGTAGCTATTCAATATCTTTCTCTTTTTAGACTCTCGGTCTGTGGGCTATTACTCACTGCTGGCATGCTTCCTGTGTCTCACTTTTGTTACCTTCTCCTTCGTGATCTCTGGTGCTGGTTAGTCACCTACAGTGTCAGAGTTCCCCACTCAGCCTGCCCTAGCGGTAGGTACTGCATTTGAGCTGTGCTTTCTTGCTTCCTCTAACCATTTGAAATTTAAATATAGAAAATAACCAACAAACCCACAGTCTTTCACATCAGCTGAACTCTTATTATACATCTAACAGATTTTCTGGTGAATTCCATGGTGTAACATTTATAGTCAGAAATCTGCCATCAGTTCAGAATAAACCCTGTAAGAAACTGACAAAGAGCTCCATTTGTTTCAGCTTTCAGATACACACTCAGAAATAGGAGGTAGCAGCCCAAGGAGGAAACTTTGAGAAGTGAACCCAAGAAACGGAGTGGCTCGCAGTCTGCTCCTTGGCCCTTCCCTCACCTGCTCAACTTTTCCAAACCACTGATTTAATAAAAGACCTGTTTAGGAGTCTAACTCTTACACTTTGAATACCAAACACAGCTCCAGGACAACCTGAAAACCCTTCATAGGAATCAGTAGTATTTCCAGAGACTGCACCCCCCACATCATAGCCAACAAGCAAAAGTGGCAACAGCCCACATTCAATGTAATGTTTTTTTCTGTCTTTTAGAGATATGGTTTCACTGTGTAGTTCAGGCTGGCCTTGAACTCACTTTGTAGCCCATGCTGGCCTCTAACTTGCAGCAATCCTCGTGCCTTAGCCTCCCAAGTGCTGGGAATACAGGCGTGTGCCACTATAACCAGCCTCAGTATAAATTTACTGCTGACAGATTTGATTTTTTTTAATATTTTGATAGTTTTACTTTGGAAATAGATTGTCTACCAGCAGATGATCTAAATTATAGCTCTCTATTTTATCAATAATTACCTTAGCATACCTGGGAATTTTCAGTAAAAATTTCTTTAAAAAGAAACCCAGCTGGGCGTGGTGGCACAGGCCTGTAATCTCAGCACTGGGGAGGCTGAGGCAAGAGGATCACTGTGAGTTCAAGACCAGCCTGGGCTACAAAGTGAGTTCAAGACCATTCTGAACTCCGTAGTGAGACTGTATCTCAAAACGACAAAAAAAAGAAAAAAGAAAAGAAAAAAGAAACCCAGCCCACATATTGCTTCTTGATTACCAAAACAAGAATTAATGAAAGTAATGAAACATTAGATTTTATATACCTTTAATATTTAATCATTTTAATTTTAGTTTTCCCATTTTGAAGCCAGTACATATTGAGACTGTCTTACCCAAAATGCTTGGACCTAGAAGTGGTTCAGATTTCAGATTTTGGAATATTTGTGTAGACTTTACTAGTTGAACATCCCTAACCCAGAAATCCAAGATCCCAGATGTTCCAAAATCTAAAGCTTACAGGTAATCATGTTAGTATTCAAACATTTCAGATTTTGGATTTTTGGATTAGGGATACTCAAATTTGTGAATAGTTTCCCAGATCTCATATATTCTCATAGATTCCTGAAAAGGTGAAAGGCCTCAGGCATTGGAGCATTTCTCACCCAGTGGTTAAGCATGCTCTGCCTGGGAACCCCTATGTTCTGTGGTCTTCCTTCTTACTTTCTTCTAGGAACAAGAACTGGTTTGAGGGACAGAAGCTGGCACACAAGTAGTACCACTAGTGAACTAAAAGAAGGGGAAGGCCCTACACAAGGCAGAGGGATTGGAAACAGAATGTCCAGCTCCTAGCCATCGATTCACAGGGAGAGCTTTGAGCGGGAAGTCGGTGGCTCTTCTCCTGCCCCCAGTAGCACCTTTTCGGACATTCACTGGACCTAGGTAGAGTGGGGGCAGTCAGTTCTGTGAGGCTGAGAGGTTTGCAGAATCATCTGAACCAGAGACAAGGATTTCCCTTCCAGGGGTTAAAAGGAAAGCAACATTGTGTCTGTATTAATCTGCCAAATGAAAGAAAGAAGGAAAGAGAGAAAAAGAATAGGGAAGAGAAAGGGAGAGGAAAAAGGAAGGAAGGCAACATCACCAAATGACAAGGACGGATTGAGTATGTATCCTCAACCAAGCCTTATCCAAAAGGCTTGGAACCAGAAATACTTTGAGGATTTCTTTTTTTAATCTAGAGTATTTGCATATACATAGTGAGATATCTTAGAGATAGGACCTAAGTGTAAACAAGATCACCTCATACACATACCTGAAGGTAATTTTATACAGTGTTTTAAGTAATGTTGTGCATGTCGCTTCTGTGGAACTTTCCACCAGTCGTGTCATGTCGGTAGTCAAGAACCTGTAGATTTGGATTTCATATTTTTAGAATAGAGATGCTGAACCTCAGGCAGAGAGGCTTTTCTGTGACATAGTCAGTCACATGATACCATTCAGACTATCTGCTGTGTATTTTTTCCTTAGTGAGGGAAGTGTACGACAAAAGGGAAAAAGGGAAGGGAGATTCAGAAGCAGATGGTGCTGTTTAGACCCAGCCCTTCCACACATTGCTCAGTGGTCCTCAAAGTATGGGCCAGGGACCTCTTGGGTTCCCAAGAGTCCTTCAGGGTGTCCATCAGGCTAGAATTGCTTTCAGAGCAGCATAACAGTGGGACATCATTTGCCTGTCTTCACTTGTTCTTTTCATGAGGGAATTTCTCCAAGAGCTTCATGATGTGATATTGTGACAGATTGAATACATTCATTCAGGGACAGCAAAGTCCAACTCTGGTTAAGCTAGACATTAAAGATACTTACAAAGTGGAAAACAATGCCACACTTCTCATTTGTTAAATGATTGCTCTGTACTTTATTATTTATGTTAACATGCAGTGGTATTACCACTGTTACTTGTGAATTAAAATAAACCCTTAAGGACACTTATGTAAATGGGGAGGAGGGAAAGGGTTGAAGGGAGGAAAGAAGGATGGAAGAGAAGGGTTAAGATATGTTATTATTGTGCACAGGTACAAGTTCCCTGCGATGAATGTAATAAATATATATGGCAAATGTGTAGCAATAAAAAATTAAAGCTAAAAAAATAAATTTACCACTCTTCATTTCTGTGAACTTAGTAGCATAAATCAGAAAAAATAAACCTGTAAGAAACTGACAAATAGTCTTCCATTTTTCAGTCTTAATGTCTAATGTGGTAAATGCTGATTAATATAACCCACATTTTTAAAAAAGTTTTTTGGGTCCATAATAAAATCTCGGCCAGGCATGGTGGCGCACACCTGTAATCCCAGCACTCAGGAGACTGAGGCAGGAGGATCATTGCAAGTTCGAGACCAGCCTGGGTTACAAAGTGCGCACAAGGCCAGCCTGAACTGCATAGCAAGACCCTGTCTCAAAAAGGCAAAAATAAAAATAAAATCTAAAAGTACAAAAGGGTCAAAGCTCCAACCCAGAAATTTGACAACTGCTGCTCTATTGAGAAATGCATACCATTTATTGATTGTTTCCCTGAGCCAGAAGCCACATTCTTCACCCCTTTCATTTTGCACCAAAACCATTAAGTAGGGGCTTTAAAACAGCATGACTTACTAGCCCAGGGTCTCTCAGCTGCATGGGAACAGGTACCAGATCCTCTGACTCCCAGGTATGCTCTTGGTTACCAGGCAGCATACCCTTACAGATTAAATCTCTGAACTTTGGTTGGTTGGTTGGTTGGTTCTCACTATGTAGTGGCCTTGAACTCATTATGTAGTCCAGACTGACCTCGAGCTCATGTCTATTCTTCTGCCTCAGCCTCCTGAGTGCTGGAATCACAGGCATGGCCACCACACCCAGCTAATTCTCTGAACTTTGAAAAACCTTTTTATTTATTGCTCTGAACCTCAGTTTTCTTATCACAAATGGGCAGAATGAGGTGCCCTGTTAAATTCTGTTTTCTGATTTTTTATTAGCATATGTTTACAGTATGTAATAATTACATTTATCTGGGGGAATGGCTGTATTTTTGTATCGTATCTTGATCATTTTTACTTCCCCTTCCCCTCCCCACCATTCCTTTTATAAGCAGATGAGTTATTAACATGCATTCAGGTACCTAGCACAGGCTGACCGGAAACAGACCTTGAGTAGTGTTGGCTTCCTGCCTGCCCTTCCTTCCCATCCTTGGCTTGCTGCTAGACCCAGGAGCCTCATGCCTCCCTTTCTTCCTCTAGATGGTCTACAGGCAGAGAGAGAGGCTGACGGCACTGAAGGAGTTGATGAAGATATGATTGTGACTCAGAGTCAGACCAACTTCATCTGCCCCATTACACAGGTATGGTTTGCTCCTCCTCCCCTGCAAGAAAACGCAGCTCACTTCACAGAGGTGAAAGCTTCTTGTTTATTTTCTGAGGTGATTTCACATTTGGAGGGGGCTGGTTGGAGTTGAGAAGAACATGTGAGAAGTGTGGGACTGGAAAGAATTTAGTCACACCCTTAAGGCTCTGGGAATAAAGCCATGACCCCAGGCCAAGTGACATTGGTGCCACTGTCTCCCTGCATTTCCTTACCCAAAGCCTACTAATCATCTAAAGCCAGGAGAATGGGAAGTTACAACATACCCTGAGAGTAGGAAAAAACAGCTACTGGAACTTGGTCCTTATCACTCCTGAAAGTCTACTCTTTCCTTGATGACAGTTGGAAATGAAGAAGCCAGTGAAAAATAAAGTGTGTGGCCACACCTACGAAGAGGAAGCCATTGTTCGCATGATTGAGTCCAAGCACAAGCGGAAGAAAAAGGCCTGGTGAGTTGGTGGGAGAGGAAGCGGGCACTGGTCGGGCAGAGTGTGCGTGTGAGGGGCAGAACCTCTCAGTGTCTCCGGAGCTTTGCGCACTCTGTGCTGCAGCCCTGGAAGCTGCTGTCCAGAAAAACAACACAGGAGGGAAGGACTCGCAGTCTGTTTAGGAAGAAGCTCGTGGCACATTAGCCTTGAAAACAGAGGAAAAAAGAATTAGATTGAATTTTAATCATTAAAGATTTTTATGAATTTGTGCTATTAAAAATGATCCAAGGAAAATAGGGGAATTGTGATACTAAGTGATTCTCTCCTTTATGTACTCACCATTTCTGGAAAGAATGGTAAGTTAGCCAAGTAATTTTTTTTTAATTATGAAGTAAGCATTCTAGGAATTGAAAACCAGTGTCTTAATGATTAAGATTTAATTATTAGGTGGAAACTGTCATATATCTAATTATGAAATGACTTCCCCAAAGGTTTCAGTAAATTTGTGAATAACAAATCAGTGAGAAGCCCTTCCTTCTCTCCCCATCCCTACAGCTGGAGGGTGATGGCTGTCTTCCAGTGACAGGGCCCAAGGGGCTGCACTGACTGACCATCTCGCATCTGCCTTGCTCTCACCACAGGCTCTTGCAGGAGTGGAATGGCAGGTGTGACCGTTGCTCAGCAGGCTCTGATAACAGTGCTTGGATGTGTGGTCTGCTTCTCCATTGCTCAGTAATGTGCCGGTCCAGCCCAGGAGTTGGAGCCCCCAAATCCTAGTGTGGGTGTGGGCTGCAAATAGGGCATCTGAGACTGGAGATAGCAGGTGCCATTTGCTCAGTTTATTTACAATATTTACTGTAGAAGTAATGGCCTTGCAGCCTCACGGTTGCAATATGTAGGCTATTAGTACATTTTTGTCTGTTCTGAGGTTCTACCTTACAGCTGAAATGTCATGTTTTCCCCCTCAGTATAATTTTCTTTGTTCCTGGATTTTCAAACCTTCCCTTTCTACCAGCTTTTTCTGTGTTCCTGCTCGGACAAGCCAAAAAAGAAAAAAAAGTCAGTATAATTGTTGAAAAATAGCTGATCCTAGTTCATTTCAGGGGTGCAGGGTTGAGACAAGGTCTCACTGTATAGTTTAGGCTGGCCTCAAACTCATAGTTACCGCCTGCTTCAGCCTTCTGAGTGCAGAGATTACAGGCCTGTGTCACCATGCCCAACTCCTAGTTCATTTTGACAGTTCTTCCTCTTAAAGTTTTTGATATTCTCCCGGAGTCAGGTTTGGAAAGGGCAGGTACTCTCCTACAAAGTCTATTTCTCACCCCCAGTCCCAGGATGGGTGGCAGACTCCCTTATCACTGAGCTGGAGCTTCATAAATACATACTTTGACTTTCCAAGGTCCTTTGCCCTTTTTTGAATTGTACATGAGTACTTTAGTAGCTCCTGTTGTTTAGAAAAATTTTTTTCTTCCATAACTTGGATGGCTGATGCTCCACAAATTCTGATAGTCTAATAATAACAACACAGTCTAAATGGAGGAAGCCTGTAGGTTTACAGATGGTAGCATTTTTACAAGGTACACCCACTGGGCCTTGTTCCACTTACTGGACAGTAGGACCAGCTGCAGCTTCCGCTAGAGGGAGAGTAAAAGAACATTGTGGACAAAAAAATTAGAGGAAAGTAGTGTAAGGATCCATTGTCAAGGACATTAAATGTCACTCTTTCAGTAGTTCCCTCATCTGTAAGTCGATGTCAGCAGTTGTAGTTGCCTCGTGGTATACACTTGAAGTTTGAGTAATGTGTATGTAAAGTACTTACAGTACCTGGCATACTGTGAGACTCATTAAACATTATCTCACCTCCACCACTGTCGCCATCTTTACCACCATTGCTCTATGCATGGGTGACAGAGTTTGGGGGAATAAGATGAGCTAACCTGAGGTTAAAAAGTCACTCCAAAAGCAGTGTAAGGGATAGGTTACAAAGGCTTTGGTGCAAAGGTCAGGTAGGATGCCTTTGCAGCAGGCTGCAGAGGATGAGTGCATGGTGGGAGTAACAGGGACTGTGGAGGCACATTGACGGACTGTGCTCCCTGCTCTACGGAAGTGGAAAGTGACTGCTGTTTCTTACCTGGTGTCTGGAAGCACAGGTGTGAGAGAGGGTAGAAGAGAGAGTGTATAAAAAGGATTGTGACAGGCTCAATTGAGGTCATGCTACATTTGAGTTCTCTGCGACATCGACCTCAGGGGAAGACCCTGAACCAGCAATGCTGATTGGGAGGTTGTCAATGGAGAGGTGTTGTTACAAGCTTGTGTCTAGATGTCCCTCAAAGCCTCATGCAGTCACCAGTGGGGCTTGTTTAGAGGTGGCTGGATCTAGAGTATGTGAGGCTGAGATTGATTCATGGTCCAATGTTAGGATCAAGGATACTAGGATTAAGGGTGTGAGTGCTATGCACACTGCGTAGCCTGGATAAAATTTCAGGATAGGAAGAGCTGTGGGTGACCCTTGTTGCTTTGCTACCTTCTGTCTACCATGAACTGTGTCTCCTCTGCGATGCCCCTCTGCCATGCCACCCTCCCACCCTCCCTTGGAGCCAGCTGATTATGGACTGAAACCTCTACAAACTGTGAGCTAAGTAAATCTTTCCTCCTTTAACCTTGGCTGTCAGGTATTTTGCCTCAGCAATGAGAGAAAAGTAACTAAGACAGGTGTCACACCCACGCTTTTGTCTGCAGAGGCAAGGCAGGCTCTGGAGTGGAGAGCCAGCAGGACTGGCGACCACCTCCATACCACTCACTGTGATACCCACAGCACCTGATGGAGCCCAAGGTCAGCCCCAGAGCAGCATGCACTAATCAGCAGCAGCAGCTAGAGAAAAAAGACCCCAAGCAACCTGAACCTCCCACCCAGGAGACAGGAGGTGCAGTACAGTATCAGGGACCAGGGGAGCCAGAGCGAGGTGCAGGCTGGTCTGGGGACGAGGCATGCGGAAGCAGGCTGGGGTGCAGGTCGCTCTCGGCCACTGCCCAGGCTTCTGATTCATGGGGGCCGTGTCACTTCCCATGATGCCTGTGGGGGCGATGAGCCATGCAGACTCTTCATGTGTAAGACCATCTGTGACACATCCAGGCTGAGAAATTGTCTTTCTTTTAGATTGTTCTGATCACCCTTTGTTAGCTCTGAATCCCGGGCACACTGTGTTACTGGGTGCTGTCTGAATTTTCTTATGCTGGCTCCAGTCCCACAAAGGCCTCTCGTTACTGGCTTCAGGCTGATTGCTATTGTTGAGTTTCACCCTAACTAAAGTTATCAGAATAATTTAATTTCCTAAAACTATCTCTCTTTTCTTTCCTTCTTTATGTTTTTTCTTCAGTACTGACAATTTAATCTAGGGCCATCACCTTGAGCCATATCCCAGCCATTTTTTTATTTTTTATTTTGAGACAGGCTCTTATTAAGCTGTCCAGGCTGGGCTGAAACTTGATCCTCCTGCCTCGGCCTCCCAGAATGCTGGGGTTACAGGCGTGTGCCATTGTGCCTAGCCCTAAAATACATACCTTAATCATAAGACTATTTATTATCTTGCAAATAAAGCTGCTTTCTGACTTTCATGTGAATAAGTATTTCCAGTTTTACCACAGTCATTCATTTTGCTTTTCTGTAGAACCGGAACTATATTTAACGAACAGTCATATCTCAAAGCGTGTAAAGCATAGAACTGTGTGGAATAGAAGTGTGTGGTTTAACAGCAAAATTCATTTCCAAACAAGTCACTGAGCCCCTTGCCCTCAGCTGCTTTATGTGTAAAGTGGAAACAACATCATCTCACAGAATTCCATGGATCTGGAGTGGTGGAGAATTGCACTCTTGGCCTGTGCCGTCAGAGTTCTGGGCAGTGGAAGATCCAAGCACTTGGGAGAAAGCTCTTTGGAGCTCAGAACACAAAACAAACAGCCGTTGGGTCCTTAAGGCTGACATTTGAAATTGTGCTACTTATCTCACTGCTTGGTGACACAGTATTTTAGACACACAGGGTGCAGGATTGAGTCACCCTCTGTGTTGAGGTACAGCAGGAATCCATCCCACTCATATTTCCAGAGGTCTCTTGAGGCCTTCCTAGAGCCTGTGAATTGGACCTTGCAATTCTTGAGCTCCACATCAAGACCCCTTAGGACTCAGAGCCTGACCCTGGACTGGATGCGGAGGCCAAGTTTCCCACAGCCCTGTGGGACCTGTAGCTCTTGCTCCCGAGCCCAGCAGACACTCGGTGCTTGCCCCAGACCCCAAGGACTGCTCTGCCCTCTCGGTGACCCAGGCCCAGACCCAGCCTCTCCCACAAGCCTGTAGGTCTGTCTCCTGCCTGGTGATGGTGTGAGAGCCGAGGCCTGGGTGTGGCCATGCCCAGCTTGCTCACCAGGATGTCATGGGGATTAAGGCCGAATGCTTGTATAGAGTGTTTTCTGGAGCAGGACTGTCCTGATTCAGGCCCGTGGCATCAGGGCCTTTCTTATCCTTTCCACTTCAAAAACTTGAGTTTGTTTCTGCGGGTGGGGTGAGAAACTATGTTCTGCCCTGGCTCCTGCACCCGCCTCTCCTCCAGGAAGTCTTCCCAGAGTCGTCACACATGCTGGGCACAGCACTGTCAGCGCCCCATGCCATCTACTTTGTTGGTGGGGAGCAAGAGCCGTGGACCTGGGCAGGGACTGGTGTGTGCTGTCCTCAGCCCTGACACTCAGAGGCCCACTTGTTAACCCTCTGCTCTGCCTTCACTCTCCCAGAGGATCACAGCCAGGGGCTTTGAGTCCGGGTCCGTCCCCCCACCCCATCTGTTTGGTGCTAGGGATTGAGCCCAGAGTCTGGCGCTGGCCAGGCAAGCACTCCCATGAGCCCAGTTTTCTCCAGCCTGTATTTTTGTCATCTGGCCATCGGGCTGTCCTTGGGAGGAGGGCTGTGTGCCCCATGCCACTGTCCCAGACCCTGTACCTGAGGATCTCAGACTTGATACATAACACAGCTTTGCCTGGATTCCATTCATTGAAGGAAGAAGAGTGCCTGCTTGGCCTCAGCATGGTGTGGTTAATTCTGTCAGCCATTCTCAGAATGCTCTCATTTACTGACTACAGCCACTGATGTCACCAGGAAGTTCTCCCCACATCGCTCTCCACTTCCCTGTCCCCGGCTTATTCACTGTCTAGCTGCTGCAGTTAGACTTTGTTCTCCAGGCTAGGAAAGCTGGCGGCCTGGCCATCAGAAGTGGGTGCTGCAGGGCTGGTGGGTTGGGGGAAGGTCATCCCCACAGCCTGTTGGAGTTACGTGTTCATGTCCTAGACGCTGACGTGATAGAAACTGCTGTTCCTAAAGACTTAAAAGTGTTTGTATCCTCTTTGTAATCTCAGCTGTTTACTTGCATATTTCAAGAAACAATTCAGTGGAGACTTCAGAATTCAGAGGGACAGACTGGAAAAAATAGAGATTTTTGCCTGGCCCTAATGTAAAGCCACATCATCAAAATGATGCACACCTGAGCCACATCAGCCTATTCCTCTCTTCCATGACTGCCGTCTTACAGCCGTGATTCGAAACTTGTTCCTGACTGGACAGCGCACATTTCAGTACTTAAAATGAAATGTTGCTATCAACCATGTTATGACACATTGATGAAGGCCCCTCTCTGACAAAGACTCCTTGCTCCAGAGACCAGGGCCAAGAGAGGCTCTCTCACATTTTCCCTGTGGGCTTCCTTCACTAGACAAGTTAGAGCTCCCTGGATCAACTTCTTCCCCTTCTGGCTTGTCTCTTTTCTCCATGTTGTGTTGTGTTGCATTGTGTTGTTTTGTTCAGAGAAGGTCTCACTAGGTAGCCCAGGCTGGGATAACAGGTTAGGTGAGCCCCTCCATGCCCAGCTGTGTCGTTCCTTATGTACTTGGTTTTAGTCAGACTTGTGCATTTTGGAGAGAGGTCACTCAGCTGGGCTCTGTGGACAGGATCGTAGATAGTACTTCACCATTGTTTGGTTAGAACCTAGCACAGGGCCAATCACACAGAAGGTTCAAAGGAATATATGAGTGGGTGTGTGTGCTGTATCTATGGAGGATACAGATAAGCCAGGAAGTTTAACACTCTTTACAAATGCCAAACATGGTAGCACATACCTATAGTCCCTGTACTCTGGGAGGTTGAGGCAGGAAGATCGCAAGTTGAAGCCCATCCTGAACAACTTAGTGAGACTCTCTCAAAAATATGAAATAAAGAGAGCTGAAGATTAGCTCAGTGTAAGGGCCTTGGGTTCTATCCCTGGTACTGGAAACAAATGCTCCATAGAAGACTCATGAGAGGCGCTGAAGGGAGCGAGCATCTTGGAGCAGTGTTACCAGCGCCCTGAGAACTAGGGATTCTCCTCCCCCAGTTAAATCAGAACCAACGAGTACCAAGGTAGAGAACCCAGGCTTACGTCAGCTTGACTCTGCACACGGGGCTCTCAGCTCTCGCCAGATCCTTTCACGCTGGGAAGAAGTCAGGTGACTTCATCCATCCGCTGCCTTCAGAGGAGACCACATCTAAAGGCGCGTGGCTCTGAGTCCCAGCCTCTGAGATGACTCATTCGTTCGTGTCCTCCGCTGCAGGCTTCCGCTGAGTCCCCACGGCCCACTCAGCTCTCCACGGGGAGGCCCACCAGCCGGCTGAGTCCACCCCAGCCTGCTGCCCACTGTCCTCCGTTGCGGTGGCGTGTGCCCGGATGCCCACATGCTCACCGCTCCCTGTGCTTTGCTCTCCTCTCCCGCTCCACCAGCAAGCCCTGTAGTTCCCATACTCGAGCTTTTTTGAAACTGATGGCTGCCGCTGGCCTTGTTTCCTCCTGGGCTTCTGCAGGGCACCAGACTTCTCCCTGCTCCTCTCTGCTCCACCACCCAGCCTTGTTACCCATGAAGCAGCCAGACTCGGGTCTTCTGAGCCTCCTGTGATTTCTCTTCATACTGGAAATAAAGCCCACAGCTCCCTCACCTCCCTTCCGAGCGTTCGCCACCTTTCCTGGTGGCTGCTGCCACGGCCTGGCTGTCCCTCCACAGCGCCCCGCCAGCCTCCTCGCTGGGCTTCTGGGCTCTGCTCAAGGGAAGGCTCCTGGGAAGCTGGGCTGCCCTGGCTGGAGGTACTGGCCCTGCCCTTGACCCTGCTTCCCCTCTGCGCTCACAGGGCATCCCAGCCCGGCCTAGGAAAGCATCTGTGTGGGGTTCTGTACTTAAGTCATGCCTGGCTCGCCCATTAGAAAGCGAGCCTGGAGTAGGCACTGCTCACAGCCTGCTGCTGTGTTCCTGGCCCCTGGGCAGGCAATGAACAGGAGTCAGTCTTTCATAAGTGTTTATTTGTTTGTTTTGTAAAATATCCCCATTTCAGTACTTGAATGTGAAAGGTTATGCTTCAGGCACTAAAGTTAAGGGAACTGACTTGATTTTCTTTCTCCCTCACAGTTGCCCTAAAATTGGCTGTAGCCACACAGATATGAGGATGTCTGACCTCGTCCAGGACGAAGCACTGAGGAGAGCCATCGAGAACCACAACAAGAGGAAGTACCGTCATTCGGAGTAGGGCCCAGCCACCGCCCTCCCGGGAAGCCAGCAGCCTACCTCCTACCCCAGCCTGCCCTGGAGAGCAGTGCTTAGTACCAAGTGGACCTGCCGGGCTGCCCTGCATACTTTGGGGTAAAGTCTAATGATTTTAAATGTTAAAAAAGCAGTTTTTCAAGCTACATAATAACAATGCAAGCATCTTATATTGTTTATACTTCAGTGCTTTATCATTTTAAATAAAATTTTGACTATCTGCAGCATGTCCTGTCTGTGCATCTCCTGTTGTGTAAATGGTTCTAAAGGTACGGGTTTTATATATTTTATATTTCAGGGTGACTTTTACAATTGTTTTAACTGGAGAATATCTTTCAAGTGATAATTGGGATGAGAAAAAAGAGAAGCACCCCAGCTGAAAAGCGTTTTCTATCATTGCAGCAAATAAGAACATTCAGTTCCAAAGCAAAGGCAGTTTATGTCCTGTTTACTTTGTGTCAGTGACAGCTCAGAACATGGAAGTGCTTTTTATTGTCCTGTCTTTCTGACTGGCACAGAAAGCCCAGTGACAGGCCCACCCTGGCAGTGCTAATCAATGCTGTAACGGGAACCTTGGCCACTCTCAAGGGCCTGCGGCATCCTTCGGAGCAGCCACGGCCTGGCCATGCTGTGCCCTTCAGGAGCTCTCTGCAATGACAGCCTCTGCTGCCGAGCCCTGGATCTTCCAGGGAACACGGAGATGTTAAAGCAGTGCTGCCTCAGGCCCTGTGGGCCCCAAGACTGTGTGGACCAGGACCAGCAGGACCTGACTAAATTGAGCTCCAGTTACATTCCAGTTGGGTGACCGTAGCAACATGGTGTCAACTAGACTATTAAAGCAAATGAAGCGTGCCCAGACTGAGCCAGGACAGCAGGGTAGCTAATGATGGCTGACGCTTACTGAGTGTTGTGCTGGTGTACCAGATGACAGTTCATGTGCCTTACAGATATATTAGCGCCTGTAATCTTCATGGCCCAGTGAGAGAGGCACAAGTATTCCCAGCATACAGATAAGGAGAATGAAGCGCAGAGAAGTGAAGTAACCTGTGGAAAGTCATGAAGCTAAAGGATGAGCTGGGACTGGCACTTGGGTGGCCCAGGCCCAGGGTCTCCACTGTTCGTTTAAAGATAGGGTTTCACTCTGTAGTCCAGGCTGACTTCAAACTCATGGCACTGATTCTGCCACAGCCTCCCGAATGCAAGGATTATGGGCCTGCGCTACCACACCTGCCCCACAGGTCTCCATTCGTAATCCATGCTGTCCTCCCCTACTCATTTATCTAAGATCTGAAAACATAACCAAAGACCACAGCTTTTGTAAGGAACAAGCGTGTGTGTGTGTGTGTGTGTGTGTATACATAAAAAATAAGTAATGAAAATGCAGGAAATAACTGGATGTGGTATCCACTAGGCAGTCAAAAACATGAAATACTGACATATATTTGAGTTTAGAGGCATGAGCCAACATGGCAGAGTTAATTTTGAAAATATTTTCAGGGAATCCAGAAAGTAATACAACATTCAGTTCCCTACAACTAAACAATTTTTGAATTTCCTTATATGCTTTATCTGAAACAGACTTTCCTGAGGAAATGATTATGTTTAAGCCAAAATAAACATACTTTCCATGGAATGTGGTTCTTTTGTGAAATACTCTGTTTCCTAAACAGATAGGGACAAGCACGAAATGCTTGCCCAAGATTTGATTCTCGTTTCCCGATTCTTTGTGAAGGAATTCTGGAACTCTGCTGTAGATACCCACCCGTACCAGTGAGAAAAATGCAGTCATGCCATTCCATGTGGAAGGGGTACTGTGTTTGTATCCCCGGAGTTTTTCCTTTAGTCTTCAGAAACAGCCAATTAAAGAATTTGAGGTTTTATAAAGTTTATTTTTATCTTTAAAGATTTATGATTTGATTGCCTGGTATATTTACTGAATTCTGTTACAGGGGTTTTCACAAATACTGGAATCTTTTCTTCAAGTGAAATCATTAAAAAAAAAAAAAACAACACATAAGCTGGCTTGAAAGGGAGAAGTTCTCGCCACAGGGGAGGGGAGAGCTCTTCCTCTTTTCAGAGCAAGCCCCAGACCCTACCTGTGACAACTCCGCAGCCCCACGCATGGCATTTGGAAAGTACCTGTTATAGCTAAATGTTTCACACATGGCTGACGTGGGGCCTGGACAAACGTGATTTTAAAATGCAAGTTCTTTTGAGAAACTTAAAAGACAGCATCACAAATCCCAAAAGAAGACATTCCTCTCACCTTATACAGAGCTTCAGACCTGGAGTTCTAGCTGCACATGGCCCCTTCAGTCACTGCCGCCTCCCCTGGCTGCTCCTGACAAGGACGGAGGGACCCAGGCCCTGAACTGATGGCTGGCCAAAGTACTCTCATGGCCTAAGTGAGTCCTTGCTGCTACCCAGAAAAGTAGTTGTCATTACCCCATTTTACAGATAAGGAAACCAAGGTTCTGTGTCCTCAAGTTCTGTCCCCAAGGCCACGGGTTCATACTAGACAAGACAGCACTGTGACCACTCGGCCTGCCACAGGGCCCTCGAGGGTGAGAGCTACATCAGTGGCTGGCACTTCCCTCCCAGCTCTGTCACTGCCGACACAGACCGCCGTCCCCAGGAACCAGGCTGTGGCTGCCACACATTTCAAGTCTCCCTTCCTTCAGTGCGTGCTCCCCACATACCTACACCTAGAAGGGCTCTCCTGGCTGGTCGCTAACACAAACCTTCCTCTTGTGTGTAGTTTGCAGGAGTACTGATGGGCCAATTCACAGCAGACCTCAGGCCTTCCCTTCCTATTGGTGGTGCAGGGCTGGTGTGCAGGGCCCTCTTGTCTCTCCAGTGCTTCCCGGGCCTCAGCCTGCCTGCTCACCAGCCCGAGTCCAGGAGGGTGCTAATCCTTGGACTCCTGACCAGTGGGTGCGGTGACCTTGGGCAGCTTGCTTCTCTGCTCCAGGCTACAAGTTTCCATGTGAAGTAAAACATCGGAACAGTCCTTACAGTTCCTTTTTTGTTTTGTTTTGTTTTGTTTGAGACAGGACCTCGCCATGTAGTTCAGGCTGGCCTTGAACTCACTGTGGAGCGTAGGCTGGACTCTGCCTCAGCCTCCCAAGTGCTGAGACAGGTGTGCACACCACAGACAGCCCCTGTGGTTCTTTTTTTTTTTTTTCTTTTTGGTGTCGAGAGTCAAACTTAGGACCTTACGCTTGCTAGGCAGGTGCTCGTGCTGCTGAGCTGTATCCCCAGCCCTGCAGTTCCTTTTAAAGCTCTAAGATCTTGTGTCATATTTTCAATGAATAGGTCTTGTGAGAAGTATGTGACCTTTCTAAGAAAGCAGGCTGACATGGGAATTAATATGCAGTTGGACCAGACAAGTTCAGACTCTGCAACTGTTCAGGAAATAGGCAGGTCTAAGGCCTGCCTACCTTGTGCCATGTTTTGTGCTTGCCCTCTGAAGGGCTGACATTTAAAAAAGTAAATTTCGGGGCTGGGGATTTAGCTCAGCGGCAAAAGCGCCTGCCTGGCAAGCGCAAGGTCGTGAGTTCGGTTCCCGGTACCGGAGAAAAAACCAAAAAAAAAAAAAAAAGTAAATTTCAGGCAAGGGTGCAACTCAGTGGTAGAGTGTTTGCCTAGCATGCATTTGGCTCTGGGTTGCATTCCCAGCACCAAAAAAAGGAAAATTGAAAATTAAATTCTGTAGGTTATGTGAATGCAGTGTGTAGGAGATGTAACACACACATTCACAAGTGAATGAGCAAGCAAAAATCCATGTTTTAGTAAATCAGGTGACAAGATTGGAAACAAGGTTTAAAAACATCTGTGAAACCTTCAGATTGGGAGATGAAATGACGATGGCTTCCCCAGCTGTGTAGAAGGCTGCGGTTCTGGGTTGTATCAGACTTGGTTGATGGGGGATCACTCCTCTGCAAAGAAAGCAGGTAAATGGGGGGCACAGGGCCCCTCCTGCTTTGCTGGTGGAATGCAAATTGATGTAGCCACTTGGAAAATAGCTTGGCATTGAAAAAAAGTTACACGTAGTAGTTCCACTTGTAGGCATCTTCCAAAGAGAAGTAAAACCTCACGTTGATATAGAGACGTTGTCAGTGTTAATAACAACATGACTTATAATATAACAAGATAAATGGAAACAGTTCAGATGAATGGATGAACAACATACATGAATCCACAGAGTGGAATACTGCTTTGCAATAAAAAAGGAACAAGGTGCTTTCCAAATACCCTGTGTGTGTGTGTCTGTAGCAAGAACACTGCCTCCTGTCCTTCCCAGCTGCTAGGGAGGCTACAGTGCTAGTGAAGCAGCCAATCACAAAGACCAGGAAGGTGTAAGCCCACTCGCATGAGCGCTCTGGGGAAGACATCCCTGGGGACTGAGAGAGGCACGGTGGCCAGCCCAGGTGGTGGTAGTGCAGGTGCACAAGGGACTGCTGTGGGGAGGGCGATGCTCTGCCGCTGAGTTGCGGTGGGTCACACAGCTGTGGCTTGTTCACTGCAGCACGGTGGGTTTCATCCAGGTGACACCAGCGGGAGTGTCGTGAGGACAGGAAGGGGCTGTCCCTGGTCCCAGGGGAGGTGTGGGAGCTTCCAGAGCTGTCAGTGGCCCAAATGCAGCTCCTCACCAAACCTCTAGCCATCTTCAGAGGAAAGTTTCCCAGTCTTTACCTTGAAGATTTGCATGAAATAATTCTATTCCAGCCTCAGGAAATCAGGGATTAAAAAAGCAATTACTGAAGAAACCTCGGAGGGCTGGTAAGATTCAGCAGTGATTGACGGCAATAAAGAATTTTACCTGTGTCTTTAACACACAGCGGGGTGTGCGTTTTGTGTACTCTGACTGCTAACAGTGACCAATAGCTCTAATTACTGACTTGTAGTTTTTAAAGCGTACTGGTGTTTTTCTGTCCTCCCTGCCACTGGAAAGGGTCCCTGAAGACAGCCTGGTGAGCACCCAGTATGTCCGGACATTGAGAACACAAGTCCTTACGGCTAAGGGTGTGTGTGTGTATGTGTGTGTGTGGTGCGTGAACAAATGCAGAGTTGATTTTATAAACAAAAAGCATTAAGTTATGAAAGGAGACTTTCTTTTATGGAAAGAAGGTAAAACCAAATTTCATAAAATAATAAAAGAATAACAATAGTTAATACATTACATGTTGTCATCTTTAAAGTAGTTTCTCAGGGTATAGGGTATGGG